TCTATTGTGAATTGACCTATAAAAATAAACTGAACTGAAATCAGCTGAGGCAAAAATCTGAGGTATCAGAGATTTGCCATAAATTAAAAACAGATTAACAATATAAAATGTTTTCTTTGTCAAGGTCATGTTTCTTCATTATAAAGAATAAAATATTTGCCATTCATATTTATTCTTAACAGGATTTAATCCTGTGAGTAATTTAAAATGAGGTCTTTATTGTTTCTTTAACAGTTTGTTTCAGGGTAAGATCCAGGTCCATGCAGGTTCATGTCCTCCATGATGGTGTAACTGGGTTCTGCTTCACTCAGATTAATATTAAAAAACCATTGGGCGCTGTGGGCACGCACGCACGCACGCGCTTACGTCACGCGGAATCGGTTCTTTAAAGACTGTCAAATCGTTCCATCGCTCTTTTCGCATCTGGACTTGAACCGGTGTGGACTATTTGTACTCAGAGTAAAGACTTGGTGAAAAAGACTCGAGATGAGCTTCGGTGAGGATCCCTTCTTCTGGAGACGGCCCGAGGATGTTCGTGATCGTGACGGACCCCCTGAAGGTCAGACAACTTCCATGTGTTTTTATATTTTTATACAGAAATGTATGCGTTACAACATCCTGCTTAAACTTGAAAAATATTCTTTAAAAATCACTAATTGGTGACAAAAATAGGGCGACACGTTTAATTTCAAGGTGAAAAGTTTACATTAAGTCATTAAAGCTGGTTGGAAAAATAATTTGTTTAGAAAAAGACAGATATTTAACAACTGTTGTGTCTAAATTTAAACTATGCAATTGGAAAAATGTCACAATTCTCCCGGAAAAAGTGTAGAATTTAATACCGGTTGGCAGGAATTGAAAACACAACAATGTTTTGTTTTGTTTTAATGTTTTAATGTTTAATTGTTCATGTTTAATGTTTTTTTTGCGTCGAAGTTAGTAAAACAAAATGGCGACAGGGCCAAAATTCATAAAATGCTAAACATGTTTTTTACGTTGCCATGTTGGAGATGATGGAATTTTAGACTCAGAGCGTCAGACGCGTGCGTACAGGTGCGTTGGCGTAGTGACGTCATCACGCAGCGTAGCACCGGGAGGCTAATTGTAGCTAGCTAGCTCCAAGACCTGTGTTGTAGCATTTAGCTAAGTGTCTGTAGTTATTTAATATGATGTAACTACCAAGTTTCTGTACACAAGACACAAAGTGTTTTTATTTAGAGTTAAAAAAAGTCATTTTAATAACTGCTGCTGTTTATTATTGTCAACATTTAAGTTGGTCACATTCAATCAAGTTACCATTTCTATGATTCTTTAAACAACTGTTTTAAGTTTAAACAGTTTTTATTAATCTGCCTCCTAAGGCTGCAGTAGTTATGAAATTAATATGTTGTATAATATTTTATGCAAATGGAACTGCCATTATTTCACTTTTCGTAATTTCAGTGCTGGCTATGATTTAAGATGTTTCTCTGTGAAAACTTTAAAGGTTAATGGTAAACCCATTTTTATAACATAAATTAAAGAGACAAAAATGTTTGAACTATTTTAGTACATGAGTTGTAAACATGTTGGGTGTTAATGAGCTGTTTGTGTGTAAACATTTGCTCTTGTTGTCTAAAAGCTTCTCTTGCTAATTGAACAGTTTAAAATGTCCATTAAAATGTGAAGAACGTGTAAAATGATGTAATAATTGTGGTGGTGCATGGAGGAGCAGAGATGGTTCAATAACACATCAGAGGTTTTGCTCCTGCAGCTTCACATTGTAAATGATCGTCACTTCACTCATGATTGTAGCTGATTGTTCTCGTCTCATATGATCAATGTTCTGATCTCAAGTGGATTTGATTTCCCATCAGATGGCCCACGACACCCAGTCCGGTTTCCACCGCCTGATCCTGAGGCCCGTCCTGGTCCTTCTGGGGCTCCGGCTGGGGCTGCCGCTGCTTCCTGGACGTCGGGCCTCCGCTCCAGAAAGAGGAGCAGGAAGGCCTGCTGCTACGAGCAAGTTGGTGTGAAGAGGAGGAGGTTGAATGACGGGAGTGTTGAACATCATTTTCTCCCATCAGGTTCCTCTGATGTCACTGATGATGACATCACCGTGGGGGTCCAAGGACACTTCCAGGGGCCGTTCTCCTGGGAGGAGGACGAGGAGGTGGAGTATGAGGAGGTGGAGTATGAGGAGGAGGAAGGTGAGGAGGACGAGGACAGTGAGGAGGAGGAGGAAGGTAAGGAGGAGGAGGAAGGTGAGGAGGAGGACAGTGAGGAGGAGGACAGTGAGGAAGGTGAGGAGGAGGAGGACAGTGAGGAGGAGGAAGGTGAGGAGGTGGAGGACAGTGAGGAGGAGGAGGACGAGGTGGAGGAGGAAGTTGGGGAGGAGGACGAGGTGAGGGTGGAGGAGTTTTTCATGGAGTGGCATGAGGTGGAGTATGTGGTGCAGTACTACGAGGAGCGTGGGCAGAACGTGGTGGAGCTGCACATTTGGGAGCATGATGTGTACATGATGGGAAGAGTAAGAGGAGGAAGGTGAGTAGGAGGAGGAGCAGGAGGAGGAAGGTGAGCAGGAGGAGGAGCAGGTTGGTGTGGTGAGGTTCCTCTCTTTGTAAATAGTCTTTGAGCAGGAGGAGGAGCAGGAGGAGGAGCAGGTTGGTGTGGTGAGGTTCCTCCCTCTTTGTAAATAGTTGTTGAGGAGGAGCAGAGCTCCAGGTTCCTGCAGAGTCTGGACCAGCTCTGATTTTCTTCTTTGTGTGTTTAAAAAA